TCTAGGCCTGGGGCATGGGGAGACGGATCCGGAGAGCCCGGGGCAGCAGGCCCCGAGCCCAGCGCCTCTGGATCCACGGGCGCAGAAGGGGAGGCGGCGACTGAATTCCCCGCGAGAGGGGGCTGCACCCCAGCACTAAACATCCGCGAACAGCGAGCGGAGGGCCACAGGCGTTCCACAAAGTCACCTCCAGAACCTCTGGAACCTGAAGACTGGAGTCAGCAACTCCCTGACCTTCCAAGGAAACTGTCACAAGTTTCCCCTCTCTCTCTCCTCAATTTCGAAGGTTTTCTCCAGCCTTGGCGATCGCTCTGCCAACTGCCCGTTAGTCTTTCGGGCTCCCAAAGCCTGCGTGCATATTTCCAGAATTATAATAATAATTGTTATTATTAGGCTGGGAAGGGAGAGCAGGATCAGAGGATAGGAACTGAGGGGGAGAGGAGAAATCTTGATGAAAAGGGTAATTTTAACCTGTGTTTCAAAAAGTTTCAGTTGACAATTATCATTAACCACGATAGACAACTCCATTAAAAAGAAAGAAAGAAAGAAAGACTTTACTACTGCTCTTGAAAAGCCGTTATTTTTTACATCGCTTTTAGGAAGATAGATGAACAAAACATCGCGTTTCAAGCCATTTTGATCTGTAATTAAATGGCAGGATCGGTTTGTATTCTCCTACGGCTTTTACAGAAGTTGCAGTGATCCAAAGTCGGGTTGCTGTGTCAGAGTGGCATTTTTATTAATGAGAATACAAAAAGCTTGCATATTCTTAGCCCTGCTTGAATTTAGTTGCTAAGCAACCGGTGTATGGTAATTCATCCGCGAAATTTAAATCTTTGAGAAAGGATCCTGCGTTTTGCTGAATGGTCGCCACGAGGAAAACAACTTGTGGGACTGGCAGCAGCTGTTCCGGCCAGGCCGCCTGGCTGGGCCGGGCCAAGCAGGGACCGGGCCACCCCACCGCGACCGCCACCGCCCCACCTCGGCGCCGGCAGGCCCTGCGTCCCAGAAAGAAGCTGGGCTTCTGACGCCCGCTGCCCCGAGTCCCCAGCACCACCTTCCTCTGCTCCTCTGCGCTCCCATTTCCACTGGAGGCAGGCTCTGCACCTGAGCAAGCCGTCTGCGTCCCTAGGGCTTGAGAGTCCAGGCTGAGAATTTCCGCAGCCCCTCCCTTCACCCTCGCCCACAGGCACGCGGCACACACGCACACGCGCGCGCTCACACACACTAGCGCACACATCGTGCCGTCGCGAGAATGCCAGTTGCCCTCTCCCCAGACCCCTCTGAGGTCACTTCCAGAGCCGACTCTTCCTTGAGGAAGACCCGACTCATAAAGAACGCACCCCACAGCCCTCCAGAAGGCCAGGCGGCCAGCGCTGGCCGGCAGTGACATCATAGGCTCCTGCTCGCCACGCTCGCGCCCACATTTTAGGACACAGGAACAAACACGGATGTGAAATCAAGAATGAAAGAGAGAGTAATCTAATTAATAGGCCATGAGCCAGGCTAACAAAATCAAAGAATCTGATTACACAAGTACCCCTCTTGCTATCTCCGCTGCCCCCGCCCCCATCCATCTCTTCCAGCCTCTGCACTATTTCCTTTCCTACACTGGAAAGTTCAGGAGGCAAACCCAGAGCCCTCTGATTTCCTTATTGAAATCAAGATCAAGCCCACGGTGGGGCTCCGGCAGCCAGGAGATCACGTGGGTGACCTTCAGGCCCTCGGAACAGGCCCCCTGAGGAACTGAGATGACCAAGTGACCTACAGAACTTGGAGAGCTGGAGAGGTGGCCCCCACACTTCTTACATGTATCTCTCTTAACAACAACAACAACAACAACAACAACAACACAACAACAACACCTGTAGTGACTGTTTCTGCTGTTAGAAGCAGGAATAGGAGAAAGAGATTCTTCACTCTGAGCCATTTTAAGAGGATCTATTTAAAAAATAAATAACACAACTCTTTCTCCTACATCACCTTGCTGCTGGTCACTGATAGCCTCAAAGTCTTAACTCTCTTTCAACACCCTTCCCCAGCATAGATGTCTGAGCACAGCCAGGTATTAGGTTTTACCACTGATACATAGCATCGGTTTTGACCGTTCCAGTCAGCCACATGTGTTTCATGACAGAAGCGAATTCTTTCATTTCTATCCTTCTACTTTGAAAAAAACCAGGTCCACCTCCTAAATAATTAATTTCAAGTCTGTATCCAGTGCCAATACTTGTTGCATCCATTTTAGAGTTTGATTAATTACCCTGGAACTTGGGCGAACTAAACTCCATGTGGGGAGAATGTTTCTTCCTTCAATTTAATTCTGCAAGCTACCAGTTATTGATGGATCTTACTCGATTTACATACAAATTGGTGCAAATATGCCCATCTCTTAAAATGCATTTTGTATAAATATATAAAAGTGTCATTTTTGATTTAGCTTGAAGAGGTTGATCATTTATTACAAAAATAAACGAATAAATACAACAATATATTGTTGCTTCCAACAGGATAAATACTTTACAAATATATAATTTAAAAAACAAATTTAATTGTTAAAGTTATTTAAAATATTACACTTATCGATAAAACTATCAATAGTATATACTGCAGTTAATATTAGAACCAATTATTCTCGGAATGTTGAAAACCATTCATACAAAACAGATTATAAGCATGGTAATGAGCAAACAGTGCAGGCTTCAGGGAAGCAGAGGGGATCTCTAAGATCAATAATGAATAGTTGTATTTTGGAACAAAGAAGTAGTCCTTGGCTAAGTACTTAAAAAGAAAGAAAAAAGGCAGAGCAACAACAGCAAAGTGACTATTTAAAATACACCTTGAATGATTAATCACCCAGACTTGCACGGGAAGATGGCTGGGTGAATGAGGTGACTGGGCCTTGCACAGGCTCAAGAGCCACAGGACACTGCAAACTATAAATGGGCCTAGCTTGGAATTAGCCAGATTGATGGAACAGAACTTTGTCACTTTCCTTTGGGTTGGAAGGGGAGGAGGGGGTGGACTGAAATGGAGGAAACAAATGGGCACTTTACGAAGCACAAGACACTTGCGCTGCAAAGGAACACAATGACCAAATTCATTAAAAAGATCTGGTGATATATAACAATATTTTCATTATTTACATGTGTAACAATATAAGCCTTAGCACAAAACCTCTCAGTTGTATCTGCCCTCTTTTGTTTTTCAACCACGAATTTCATTTTGTAAATACATTCAAAGGGCTGATTTTTTAAAATACGGAGTGCAAGCATTAGCTCACTTTAAAAAATGCAACATAATGAAATAAAATGGGCTTGATTTCCCAGCCTCTCCAATTAAAAGTTACTCTGCTGCTCCTAAATCAGGGCTTCTTCCAAAGTAATCAGCAAAGGATGCTTTTTAATAGAAAACAGTGTGAAATCTAATGTTAGTTCTTTTGTTGTCAGGCAAATCAAGTAAGCAAACACCTCCTAAAATTTTAAATAGACCCAGTCTCTGTCTACTGCACCACAACCATTCCTGTAGGGGATACAGGATTTCATCTCACGTGCCAGTGGTACCCACCGTATGAAAACAACCACACCCAATGCTCAGCCTTCCAGTAAGGCCCTCTTTGCTTGCCCCTGTAGACCCTCAAAAAATGATGAGGTTTGTCTCCACCCCCGACTCCAGACTGTAAATTTGCTGAGCAGAGAAATTACAATAGCAAGAGAAATAGGAAATAAGAAGGCAAAGAAAAGTAAATTGCGGTTTCTTGTTTTCATTTTTTTCCTTCTCTCTGTTTAATAAATATGGCCTTTTTCAGATTTCACAAATCAAAATGATTGTGATTTTTAGTACGATTTGGTGTTTAAAATAATGCAACCCAATACACGGCCATCTGGCTGGGCTTGATTTATGAAAGTGACACAGGGTCTGTCTGGAAGAAATAACAGTTCCTTGTTGCTCTCACAGTTTTCTGGGTTTTTTAACCCCTGCATCGATAGCATAGGGAGAGGGTCTGAAGATGAGAGAAGAAGGCAAGAAGTGAGTGACAGCTAAATGAGATTGGGGGAAATTAATCTATAAAATCATTGCTTTATCACCCATAAATACTTTTTTTTTAAGTACAATATGAAGGGACTCAACTAAGCAGAGCCTTTTGCGTCTTTAGTACTTACAACGTGAGGCATTACACTTTCATTTCCCACATTGTAAATATTGATGCATTGACTTGATAAATGTGACCGATCTGCAGGGTGTATCTAAAGAGTGATCAAAAAAGCTAAAACCCCCAGCACCAGTAAAGAAGATACAGAATTGTCCTGGGGAAAGACAGAAATGCAGAATCTTAAATCTGAGCTGGTCATCACACTGAGGGGAATGCAGTGTGGATCATAATTAGGATTTTGGAACTACATTCTTTCATTATAGGAAAAGCAAACTGAACAAAACCCCAAAACAGCTCAATAACTTAAACTTAATTACACATAGTTATTAACGGGAAGTAATTGATATAAAATATCTGATAGACTTGTAAGGTATTCTTCACAACTATTAGTCTTCAGAAAATGAGGAAGGGACATAGCAATATGGTGGGGGGATGAGAGGAAAAAGAGAGGCTCAACTTGGCGGGGGGGGGGGGTCTGTATTAACTATTAATAACCAATTGGCACATTTTTACTGGTGATGTAGTCCAATCCTCTGATAAAGATGATAAAGGACACAGGTATCTCCAAGAAAAGGACTAGTATTTGGACAATCTCACCTAAAAACACTAAAAACACTAAAATTAGAGAAACATATTGTGGAATTGATGGATTCACAAGGAGTGACACTGTGAAAGTCCTATCAGTTTCTGTCATGACTGTCCTTCCCTCTAGATTTCCAAACAGACCTTCGGTGGAGGGGGCCCTGCTTTCCTCAGCGCTATCACTTATGGATTTGCATTAGTAAAAAAATATTTTCTAAAGAACTCTTTTCTTCCCACACAGTGTTTATGCATCAGACACAGACTATTTCATTCTAACAAATTTATTTTCTCGATCAGCTCTTACGGAATCACTACTCAAATTAAATTACAATCAAATGATCACATCAAAAGATACCCTTATTACCTAACAACTGTCCATATTTTCATTTCATTTTGATTTGTGCTCGTCTGAAAAAAACACGTAATACAAGATCTGGGGAAAAATAAATTACCGTTTTGCAGCAGTTCATAAGTATTCTGAATAAAATATTAAAAGAAGTCATTTAATGAAAATATAAAGCAAATATTTTTAGATCAACAATGGATCTAACAATTCTATATTGCCGTCTTTTGAAAAGTCTGTTTATTAAAACCTACCAAAAACACTGCTTGGAAATGGCAGTATTATATAATCACATCCACAGCACCCATTCAATCAAAGTTGGCAACGGATTAAGGAGAGGAGTCCAGAGAAGCGCAGCGGCTGGTGCTCAGTCTTTCTAAATCCCTTTATCTGAGTCAGTCCAGAAATAAAAAATAAAAAATATTAATAAAAAAAATATTAGCGGTGGAATCTTTAGGCGTCGTCCGCCCAAGCCCGAGTGGTAGCCGTTAAAGCCGGGGTTGGCGGCCGGGCCTCGCTCCGCGCCCAGTCCGCCCGCGCGCGCCAGCTCGGCCCGGGCCTCTCCCACTCCTCGGAGGACGTCCCCTTCTCCCTCGCCCATCCCTCTGCTCTTTTGTGATGCTTTTATTTCCAAGGTTACTTTGAGAATACTTATTCTTTTCTTTTGGCTTTGCTATACAGTCTGCTAATTTCAGAAGCTGTGAATATATATATTTTGCTGGAGACTGTTCTTTTTTTCTCCTTCCCATTTCATAGTCAATTCATTTGTCCCCAATGACTTTAATATGGCCAAGAAAAACAGGGTCCCGGAGCACAGAAGCATCCCCTGATTAAACCCGGTGCCTCTGCTTCCTCTCAGATCGCTCCCAAGAGGCAAAGTTTTGCTGGATCACTGCAGGCAGCCCTTTGGAGGGAGGGGGTGGTGGGAAAGGGGATGCGATTTTTTTTTCCTTTTTTTTTTAAGAGGAGAGGATGAGGCAGGTGCTAGGTGCTGTCCACCGCTGCCGGGTAGGACTTCTCAGGGTGGGAGAAACCTCACGAGTGCAGTTTTGGTGCGCTAGGCATCTTCACCCTTCTTTAAAAAGAAAAAGAGAAAGGAAACGAAACACCACCGCAGTATAGACGAGATCTCAGGGTCGCCCCCTTTTTCTCTTCCGGTTTCGTTATATATATGTATATAAAACAGCCCGGGTATTTATTATGCTTTTGTTTGTTTGTTTTGCCCCTCCTTCCTTGGACTTCAAAAATGTCTTCTTGGTCCGGCTCTCTTTTCCTCCAAGGCCGGGCATGCCTGTCTTTGGGCGGAGGGGAGGGCGGCGGCGCGGCCCGGCCCGGCCCGGTGCGCCCCGGTGCGGGGTCGGCGCGGCGGCGGCGGCGGCGGCGGGGGCGGTGCTGGCGGCGGCGGCGGCCCTCTTCGCGCTGCGGCCCTTGCCTTCACTGCACGCTCGTCTGCAGCCCGTGGTGCGGAGGTGGCGTGTCGGCGCTCACGGTGCCCACCTGCGAGTAGACGTCGTCGGGCGTCTGCTGTTGGATCCCGGGCGGCGTCATGCGCTTCTCCTTCTGGCGCCGGTTGCAGAACCAGACCCGCACCACCTCCTTCTCGAGCTGCAGGCTGTCGGCCAGGTTGGTGATCTCCTGCGCAGAGGGCTTGGGGCACTTGAGGAAGTGGCTCTCGAGCGCGCCCTTGACGCTCACCTCGATGGAGGTCCGCTTCTTGCGCTTGCGGCCCTGCGCCGCGATCTTGTCGATGCTCGTGGGGCTGCCGGTGCTCGAGTCCGCCTCCTCCAGCCACTTGTTCAGCAGAGGCTTGAGCTTGCACATGTTCTTGAAGCTCAGCTGCAGGGCCTCGAAGCGGCAGATGGTGGTCTGAGAGAACACGTTGCCATACAGCGTGCCCAGCGCCAGCCCCACGTCGGCCTGCGTGAAGCCGAGTTTGATGCGCCGCTGCTTGAACTGCTTGGCGAACTGCTCCAGGTCGTCCGACGTCGGCGTGTCCTCGTCCGAGTGCGGGTCGTGGCTGTTGAGTCCGGGCCCCGCGCCGCCGCCGCCGTGGTGTGGAGGGCCCTGCGCGTGGTGCGGGTGCGGCGGGTGCGGGTGCGCGTGGTGGTGGTGGTGGTGGTGGTGCTCGGCCAGCTCGGGCGTGTCCCCGCGCACCAGCCCCGGGTGCACCAGGCTCTGGGCGCCGCCGCCCGCGCCGCCGCCGCCGCCGCCCGGCCCCGGGGGCGCGCTCAGCATGCCGTTCACCGTGAAGCCTCCGGGCTGCGAGTAGAGCAGACTCTGCGGCGGGGGCTGCTGGCCCCCCGCCATGGACGGGAGGTGGGCAGCGGCGGCGGCGGCTGCGGCGGCGGCGGCTGCGGCGGCGGCAGCCCCCCAGCCCCCCGGGTGGCCCTGGTGCGGGGGTGGCGGCGGGGGCCCGAGGTGCGGCGGCCCGCGGTGGTGCAGCGCGGTGCCCGCGTGCAGGTCGTCGCGGCCGGCGCCGCCCTTCACGTCGGGGCCCTGCGGTGGCGGCGGCGGCGGCGGCTGCGGCGGCTGCTGGGGACTGCCAGCCATGCCCACGGCGCTGCCAGACCACGGCGAGCTCGCCTCCACGGCGGCAGCGGCGGCGGCGGCGGCGGCGGCGGCGGCGTGGGGCAGGGCCGTGACCCACTGGTGCGCGTGGCTCAGCATATGGCCGCCGTTGCTGGCGGCCATGGCCCCCTGCATGAAGTCGCTCTGGACCATCTTGACGGAGGACGGGTCCCCACGGTAGGCGCCCGAGGTCACGGCGGCGCTGCCGGGCTGCATGCCGCCCCCGCCGCCCCCGCGCCGCCCCCGCCGCCGCCGCCCCCGCCGCCGCCGCCGCCGCCCCCGCCGCGTCCGAGTGCACAATGGAGCCGGCCGCCAGCAGGCTGTTCCCCGGCAGGTAGGGGTTAGAAGCCGCCGTGGCCATGCCGCTCCGCTCCCGCCACCCCACCGCCGCCACCACCGCCGCCGCCGCCGCAGCAGCAGCCGCGGCCGCCGCCGCCGCCGCCGCCGCGCCCCCCGCCTCCCGCCTCCTCGCCCCCCTCCTCCCCCGCCCCCGCCCCGGGCCCCTGCCGGCCCCGCCGCCTCCGCCGCCGCCGCCGCCGCCGCCTCCGCCGCCTCCCCAGCCGCCGCCGCCGCCGCCGCCGCGGCCCCCGGCTGCAGCTGCAAGGCCGCTCGGCAGGGCGCGGGGGTCGCCGGCCGGCCTGGGTCAGCAGCAGCAGCAGCAGCAGCAGCAGCAGGAGCAGCGCTCTGGGGAGGGGGCCTCGCTCCTGGGGGCGCGCTCCGTGGCCACCCCCTTCAGGGGGGGTCGTGGCCGCCCCCCAGCCCCGGCGCGGTCGGCTTGCTCCAGCAGGGCTCGCCGGGCGGGGCGCGGGCCTGCGCTCGGGGCTCTGTGCCGGGGCGCGCCGGCGCCCGCTCCTCCGCCTGTCCTCCGGCGAGCGCCGACGCTGCCCGGGCGCGGGGCTCCGTCCACCTGCTAAGTGAAGGTTTCACGGGAGACAACAAAGAAAGAAGCCGTTCCTTTCTTCCTCAACCAAACTCTGGACGACCAGCAGCCGGCCCGCTCCTTCCCTTGCCCGCTCTCTTCTCTCCTCCTCAGGAACACATTTCACTCGTTTTCCCTTAGAGTAGTAAAACTTTTTCGTCCTTGAAGGCGTGGTGATGCTGCCTGCTCGCGTGTGCGGAGAGGAGAGGCTCGCTCCTGCTCTCCCCCTGCGGTCCTCGCGTTTCAAGTTTTGTTCTGTCCTAGGAAAACTTCTTGCGATGGTGCATTTCTCTGAAGTTGCTATTGCCGGAGCTCTTGGTTGCCTCTGAAACAAGAGTCCTTTTTCATTCTCCTCGCAACAGTCACAGTCTGATGCGACATCTTTCCTTGTGGGCAGAAATTAGGAAACAAATATAACAAGGAAAAAATTGAACAGGAGAAAAATGAGGTCGAATTGCTCTGTTACCTTGTTGCTGACGGTTGGGGTTGGTGTTTTATTTTTTTCCCAGCAGTTGTCTGGAGGAGGAGGAGGAAGAAGAGTGCATTGGAGGAGGTGGAGGTGTTTGTGTGCATATAGGGGATCCTTGATACACAACCAACTCCAGTGGGCACGTTGCACGGCTCGTAGAGTGCACCGACGGCGCTGGCACTGGCCGTGCCGGAGCGGAGTTGCAGTGGGAGCTCGCTCTGCGCCCTCGTTCGCGCTCTCTCTCCCTCGCTCACTTTCCCTCTCCCTCCCTCTCTGTCGCCCGCCCGCTCTCGCTCGGATCTGACAGTTCGCTCTCTGTCCCTCCCTCTCAGAGCAGGGACTGTCGAATGTTTACCCTCCGCCGCGAGCGCGCACCCACCACCACACTTTCCCAAATACAAGGAAGTCGAGCACCAGGGCCCCCGCTGATTGGCTACCCGCTGGGTGATTGGCGGGCCCGAAATGACTGGCTCAGGACGCGCGGCCCCCCTTCCGGCCGTTCCGATTGGTTGCTTTTTAATTTAGGCAGAGCGTCGTAGAAGCTGGAAATCTGTCGTCCCCCCCTCCCAGCCTCCCTCCCCCTCGCCACTTTCTCCTCCCCGCCCCTCCCCCGCCACCCCCTCCGCCACATCTTAACTCTTAGAGTCCGGCCGAGTCCTTGGCGTTCCCTCCGCGGTTCTGGGCATTCGCAATAGGTCTGGGAACGGGGAAGAAAGGGGAGAGAAAAGGGAGGGAGGGAGGGGTGGGAGAAAGGGGAGGGGGAGAATCAGAAGGAAAACGAAGAGGGGAAAAAAAAATCGTGAAAAATAGCAACCTACCCACTCCAGCTAGTACTGCGTTCTGTTGCCGCCCTCCCTGCCCCCCACCCCCTGCCCAGAGATTAGTAAAGCGCGCGGCGTGGATGCGCCATTCACGTTAATACCTATAGGCAGATGTGTCCCCAGTGGTTTCAAAGTTTCCTTTTTCCTTCACCGGCCGGCCCCCATCTCTGTCTCGGCGGGGGTGGGAAGGGGGAGCTCGCCTCGCCAAGAGCTCGGGTCGTGGCCACGCTGCTTGGAAATCCGCCACCGCAACTTTCGGCAGCCGCTTCGCGCCGGCGGCGGCCCCCTTTGTTTAAGTTCTCGGATGCCATCATCTGGGAAACCTGCAGCCCAGGACCAGCGCGGTGCCCGCGCGTGCGAGACGGACCGCTCGCCGCCGCGGCTGGCTCTCTCCCCCACCCCCTCTCTGCCGCTCTCCCTTTCCCTCCCTTCCTCCCTCCCCCTCCTCTGGGATTCGTGCAAGTAGCGTGCGTGCCCTTGTGAGTTTGGAAGGTGCCGGTCAGCGGAGCCAGGCGTTGTATTTGAAAAGCAATCAGCCCGGCCTTTCCCCATAGATATATCGTAAGTGTATTCCACCCCATGGCGTTAGGAACTCCCGTTGTGGCAGGAGCCGGCCTCAGGAACCGGCTCCACTAGCCGCGCCCTCCACCGCTTACATTGTGTGTGTGTGTGTGTATTTCAGTGTGCTTATTGGTGGTGTTTTGCTTGCTCGCTATTCTTAGGCACGGTGGTGGTGCTTTTTCTTTCTTTTTTGTCTCAGATGGGTTTGCGTAGTGGATGGGGCTGGCGGCGACAAACGCTTTCTCAGCCCCAGCCTGGCTGAAAGAGTTAAGGGGACGGGAGGGGGAGTGCGCGGGGTAGGCGGGAGGAGCCGGGTGGGGGGACGCGGCCAAGCGGAAACGCTGCACAGAGGAACCGCAGCGAACCAAGAAAAAAGAGAAAGTGGCAACGAAAACAAGGGCAAATTGAACCCTCCTCGGGGATTTCCAATGCACTAACCCAACTCGGACATTCAATAAATACATCGTTCCTAATGAGTGTGCGTGTATGTGCACCCCGCACCCCTAGCTGCGGGTGCGCCCGCTGCCCAGCCTGTTCCTCCGGCTGGCGGTCCTGAGCTCCTGCCGCGCCCGCCGCCCGAGCGGCGGCCCTGGACGTAGACGCGGAGCCGCCGGTGTGCTCCGATTAAAACGTGAACGGGGCTGCCCTTCTCTCCCCATGAAAAATTCCTGTGCTCAGCGCAGTTAGGTGAACTCGGTTCAAGCCGGAGCTCTGCAGCCCAGCCGCAGCCACGCAGCCTTTGCGTGATCTCAAAATTCACAGTAGACGCGTAGAACGTATGTAGGAGCTCGTCCAGCTCCAGCTTGCCGGGGGAGAGATGCCACCGTAGGTAGGTTTTAGCAAAGCCATTCTTGCTAAGGTATAGATCGGAAAGGCAGTGGTAACCAAACCCCAAACAGAACGGATTTTTTTCGCCTGCGTTCCCCTAAGGTTCCTTTTTCTATTTATGTATGCGTATATGTATATATAAAAGATGGAACACAGATTTCATTGAATAAATCCGAGATCTCCAGGTGCAGACGTTTGAATGGTCGGTGCCAGCACCCCGTGTTTTCCTTTCCTGCCGATTTTGCTTGGATCCGGCTCAAAAACCGAGAGAGTCTCGTGGTTTTGTTTACACTGAATGGGGAGGATAGGAACAGAGCCACGGGGCCGCCTTTCATTAATATACAGTGAGGATTTTGTCTAAATTACTGCTATGAATTTCACAGTACACGCTTTCAAAAGCAGTCTCAGGTGGCCTGATGAAACGTGATAGCGCCTCTGCAAACAGATCCACTTTCTTTCTTTCTTTTCAAGGAGGATGTGTGTGCGTCTGGGAAGCCCCCCAAAACGCTGCGCTCCTCGATAACAGAAATACGCTGCTGTTGCGAGGTCTGTCCCCTTCGTCCTCCCCCCTTTCGGCGCACTTGGTTCTCCAGTCTCTCCCCAGCCTCCCCCCCCCCCCCCCCCCCCCCCCCAGCCCCACCCCATCCGCCCCCTCCCTTTGCCGAGTGTGATTGTTTTGTCTGGAAAAAAAAATCCAAAGTATATAACAAGGGGAGAACAGTTAGTGCTGATTTTCATTTGCATACATTTTCATATATTTTGGTGAAAATAATAGACTAGTGGAGAGCTGGGCTTAGAGGAGTCAGTGTAAAGGGAAGACTAGGATGCGTCGCTTCTGGGGAGTTGAGAACATACCTCCCCCCCCCACCCCCCCAGTCACCTTATTTTAAAAAAATAATAAAACCTCTTCTTTTATTTTAAAATCTAACCCTGGAAGTTTGCTCGGTAAGTGTTTTTCATTTTCTTTCCTTACTGTCTGCTTTGCTCCCCTTCCTTTCGGTTTATTTATGCTCTGGTAGGGTTGGGAGCTTATTTTCATTGCTTGGGACAAGAGAGGGTTCACAGAGCAACTGTTTTGAAGGAAGGAAGGGAAAGTGTGTTGGGGGAGAGTGAAAAAAACCAGTCCTGCTGAAATATTACATTAAAAATGGACTCAATCCAAAGCGCCCCACAGCAAGGCACTTTGCTTTTTTTTGGGGGGGGGGGGAGTGCTATTAATTTTAATTGTTGACTGTGAGGGGGAAAAAAGCCCCAGAAAAGAAGCGATTATAAAGCACGCAGTATTATAAATATTTCTTGTTTTTGGAATTTTTTTCTGGAGAATCATGACTAGAGGGGAAGAAATCCCCTTTCTGTATGCAGTGCTCATGTGGTGAACTATGTGTGCTTGCCCAGGGTTGGGGTGGGGGGATTCCTGCTGGGAGCAGGGGGGTGGGATGAGGGAGGGGGGTTGGCAAAGGGAGGGCAGAGAGCTGAGAAGAAGGAAGCAGGGGAGGAAGAAGAGGCAGGAAGTCAGCGCACCCTGGTCACTGCCTTGTCTGGGGAGCAGGGGCTTCGTTGCAGCCTCCCAGCTCGAAGTGAAAGTCCATCAGAAAGCGGGGGGATCGATCAAAACTAACCAGGACGTCCTGCACTTCACTCCCAGAGGAGGCTGGAGTGTTTGCTTCACAGACTAGGTTTTACTTTGTTTTCCATTTTTGACAGCTGGCCTTGCCCCCCTCCTTGCTACTGTCCCTGGGTTTTGTGAAAATGGAGGGTGCAGTCACTTGCTAGGTGCAGTTAATTAGATAAAT